GCGCGCGAGAAGACCGCGCCGGGCGCCTGAAGGGAGTCGGAGCACGAGGGCTGAAGGGAGCCGGAGTCCAGCGGCAATAGGTCCCGGAGGGGGACTTGGCCTCAGAGCCCTAGGCCGGCTTCTCTCGCGCGGGGAATGGACGGGTAGTAGGCCCAGCCCAAGGTTTCACCACCACCATCCCGGGCCCCTTCGGGCGGATGCCGCCAGATGTGTACGGATGCCGGCGGAGAGGATGCCGTGAACCACTCACCTGGCCCGGGAGGAAGGCGCGGGCCCCACCAGTCCCGACTCGGCTCGCCGCCGCCGCCGTCGTCCTTTCTCCGGAGAGGCGGGAGCCAGAGGTTGCGAAATGTCCGCCAGCCAATCGCGAGGCGGATTACCTCAAGGCTGATGCAATCTCCCTGCCCGCCTGCGACTGGCAGGCGCCTGGCCCAATCGCAGAGCAGCTGCCCAAGAATGCGCCTTCCTGACCGCCAATGGGAGAATTAGGCGGGAGGGCTGAGCGGGAGGGGGGGTGGGGGAGTCTTTTGTGCTCCTGTGGGATGGCCCGCCTCTGACGCGTCCACATGACCCGCGTGACGCGAGTCAGGAAAACCCTCAAATCTCTGTTCACGCATGAAACGCGTGTGACGATACCATATGGAAACCTTCACGTGATGGCCCAATTTACATAACATACAAAGATTGGGGTTCCAACGAGCTTCCATTTTAGGCTAGTCAAGAGTAGGATGGGAAGGCCTGGAAAATAACTGAAAAAATGAGGAAAAAAACTGGTTTCCCCCCTTTTTTTAATAGGGGGGAAACTTTTTCCCACAATTTTTCTGGTTATTTTCCAGGCCTTCCCATCTCTCATCGAGCCTAAAATGGAAGCCCATTGAAATCCAGTCTTTATATGTTGTATAAATTGATGTGAAGACTATATCCAGGCCTCTGTGGCTCTTTAAACCTCTTTCCAATAATTACAGTTGTGGGGCTTTGCGTGCTCTGAGAGCTGCACCTGTCAGCCTTCAAGATTCCTTTCCTTCGCATCTTTCGGCTGCCATAGTAATATGGGGTGCGTGTGAAATATTTGCGTTTTGTGGGTGTGGGAAATGTGCTGGAAGTTTGGAGAAAGAACTGTATAACTTGGGGGAAAACTTCATTGTCTATGCTTATTTGCTTGCTTACTGTGCAACTGCAGCTCTTTATCAAACTAGGCCAAGGTCAATGGCCAGATGTCTGCATCACCACCTGAAGATGCCCCACATGACATTATACACAACTTCAATTGGATGGACAGTTTGAACTATTGTGGGTGGGAATGTTGCCATCACTTTGTATATGTGTTTTTCACGCGTAAATCCTCAGATTCAGAATTCCTTTGATGCTACCACTTGATTTCCAGTAAAAGATATATTTTCTCTAATTTATGGAGTCTAAGTGTTTCTTGGATTTTGAATGGAGCACCATTGACAACACCAGAGATTCAACCATGGAGGACAGGTCTCATCAGAGGAGCGAAAGGAAGAGTGTCTTTCTGTAGTTTACTACAGGTGTCGCCAACACACACACATACACACACGTCTGTGGACTAGTACCAGTCTGAAGCCTTTGGGGAACTGGTCCGCGCAAGCAGCAGGCAAGTCTGCAAAGCTCCATTTGTGTAAATGGTGGACATGTGCATGAAACCATCTCTCTCCACACCATTGCTGCCACCACAGAACCGAAAAGTTTGGGGATGGCTGGTTTACTATATGATGAGATGTAAACTACACAAACCTATACCAGATTTATTGTTGTCTACTATTGGCTGAGCAATCAGGGCCAGCAGTTACAGGACTCACTGGAAGAAAACATGTTTAAGACGAACTGCATGATTTTTGCTTGGAATATCCGCCTAGACTGCACCCACTCATTGCCAAGCAGTTTAACAACACACTACAAGAAAGTGAAACTGAAGATTGGTTAATACCTGGCAAAACCCTACCTGAAAGATCCAACAAAAGGGGCAGCATCAGGCAGTTACTAGTCAATTATTTGCTTATTAGCAACTTTCAAATTGCGAACTGGTACAGCAGTTGATGGAGTCCAACAGCATCTAATTGAAAACAATCTCTTTCCACTTAACAGAAATGAAACTGTCCAAACAGCAGAAAAAGAAAAGATCAGTCCCTGACTGAAAAGATGATTTTGGAAAAACGGCAGGAGAAGGGAAACCAACTTGAATGTAACTTGAATTGATTACAAGGAGGCATTCAATTCCTGCCACGTGATTGAACAATCAAACACATGGAAATAATATGAGTCAATGGAACCAAAAGAAGCTTTGTGCAAAAAGCTTTCTGAATAATGGGAAATACAGTTGCGGATCAATGGTGATAGACTGGGAGAGGTTACATCAAGATAGGAATCTTTCAAGGAGACTATCACCACTTTTGCACTGAATCCTTTGTCTGTCAGGTTTCCAAGTGATGAAAACCCATTCAAGAAGAAATAAGCAAATTTCGGGCTCAACACTGTCATCAATACTAAACAAGTCAGGCCATGGCTATCAAACATCAGGAATATCTACCTGGTTATTCCACCTGTTTTCCATGGACAATCTGAATCTTTTTGGAGAAATAGAATCACTGCTCAAATAATGCCCACATTCACAGCAAAATTTTGTAATGGAATTTGGACTGGACAAATGTGCCCCCCCACAACATCAATAGGGGAAAATAGTGAAAACTAAAGGAATCAAGCTGATCAAAGCTGACAACATCAAATCAAGAAGGTTAATAGAATACATCAGAAGTGAAGAAATTCAGTGGTAGAAATATCATCGAGACAATTAACACTGACCCATTAGCAACCTTCAGACTTCTCATTTCCTTTTCTTAACAAGAAGGCCAAAGGGTAGAGAGGCCCTTCAGCCATTGGAGAGATCCATGGCCAGTTGAAGAACACCATGGGGAAGAGGATGTCATGGCAAAAGAAACTGCCCAGAGATCCACAACTATGATCATGATTTTTCTAAAATACCAAATCTGTGCCTGTGTGCAATAATTTCTTTGTTCCTGAGCCTCTTGGACTTTGAAAGTTCTTAGCTGAACAATGAGTTAAAGCTTTGTACATTCCTGCAATTTTGCACCAGAGCTTGCATCTGACCGTCATTATGCCTCTGATCTCCACCCTTTTAACCCTGCACAGCACCATCTTGGCAGGTTCCCAGTTCTGGGCCTCAAAAGCTGAAAAACACAAGCTACCTCTACACTATAGCCCATGGCTGGAAGACAATTATAGCCTGCTGTACCTTAAACTGACCATAACAATTAACTTTTAAGAATATTTAACAGAATGTTTAATCTCACAGGGATCTAGATCTATCAACTTCAGAATCCCTACATCTCAGCCAGAAACTGAGCAACAATTATTATCTGGATAGACAGCTGTGAGGAAAAGAAAGGAAGGACCAAGTGCCGGATAATTTGTGTTTCTCATCCTTGTTCATGTTACTGTAGTTGTAGCAGCCAGTCAATCCCACCTCCCCTAAAGTTCCCTAAAAGCTATGTAAAACTAGCAAGTGCCATCACATGCAAAAGCTCTCTTCCTGAAATTTGGCTGGCTTTATGTGTACATGATTATGTGCAAAATTCATACTTGAAGTCAATTTCTCACTCTAGCAGTCCAGGATTTCTCCATGAAAGAATCTTGTCATGCATCCAGAAGTCTGTGTGAGACATTCAATAAGGGTAGTAATTCTGTTAGATAAGGTAGATATGGAGAGTTGGAGTGATGGCTTTGACAGAAATATGCAAGAATGATTGCATAAGCAGAGAGGGCTGAAACATTTTTAAGTTCTGGGTAGCAAGATAAAATTTGGAGGAGGAGACAATCAGATTTGTGAGATTCTGTTGTTATAGCCAATCTCAATCAAAAATTAGAGTTGATTTTCCAGTCTGGTCTATCAGTGGGACTGACAGAAGATGAGTGGGAAAGAAAACAAATTGACTCCAAGTTGGCAATGGAGTGAGAAAAGACTGAATTATCTCCCATTATTTATTCAAACTATATGCCAAATATATATTAAGGAAAACTGGGGCAGTAGATATCAGTAACCTGTACTCTGCTGATGACACTATCCTGATAGCCAAAAATACAAAGGTCTGCAAATCCTAATAATAAAGGTCAATGAGCACAGTGAAAAAAAATACCACTAAAATTAACTATAAAGACAACAACAGGAAAGAACACAGCCTTAGCAATGAAGATATCAAAATGGTGGGTAGCTTCTGCCTTTGAGAATCAATCTTCAACTATAAAGGAACAAGTAGTCAAGAAATATATCATACATTCTGTAGAGCAGCCAAGAAAGTATTGGAAAAATATTGAAATGCCATGACATATCCATACTTATAACAATAAATGCATCATCAAACAAATCAATCTAGAATTGATTTGAGGCATGAATGACCTCAGACCACATCTTAAGGCACAAATGATCAGGCTCAAATTATCCTAATTAAGACTCCACATAAAAGGCTATGAAGTTGGGAAAGGTGGAAAGAAAAATAAGAAAAATACTGATCAGCATCAAGGGGAATGAAAGATCCGACTAGGGATAGACTGTCATGCAGAAAACCTTCATTCATTCATTCATTCATTCATTCATTCAAAGTTGACTCAGCCTTCCATCCTTCCAAGGTCGAGATTGTTAGGGGCAATATGCTGATTCTGTAAACTGCTTAGAGAGGGCTGTAAAACATTATAAAGTGGTATGTAAGTCTAAGTGCTGTTGCTATTGTTATTTATAAAATTTATTGGCCACTCATCAAGATAACGCTGGGCAGTTTACAATCCTAAAAATAGATTAGATTAGATTAGGGTTAGTTTAGATTCATAAATTAATATCTGCAAACGCTATGATCCAATTACAGATAGAGACAGGGGGAGATGATTAACAATTGATCAACCTCCTCCATAGTGATGTTTCCCCATTGGGGCCCCAAACTAACTGACAGAACCAGGTGTTTAAGCCCTTACAAATGGTCAGCAGGCTTGGGGCCGACTTGCGTCACTGGAGAGGGCAAGATGTTCCACAAGGCAGAGAAGGCCCTTCTCCTGGATCCCACTAGCTGGAATATTCAGGCTGATAGGACCTGCAGCATCCTCCTCTGCTGGTACAGGTGGGACGGACCAATCCCAGTGGGATGAGACAGTCCCTCAAGTAGCCTGGACCATGAAGGGCTTTAAAAACCTTGAACTGCACCCAGAAGCAAATTGGCAGTCAACGCAACTCACGGGCCAGTGGCGTTACATGGGCCATTCTTAGGGCCCCAAGAACTGTCCACACCCGCCCACTCTGCACCAGCTGTAACTTTTGAATGCTCTTCAAGGGTTT